GTCCAAAATGGGATCAGCGAGGACACAGCAAGAAATGAGCAGTCTGCAAGCCAGAGAAGGGCCTTGCCAGAACTCAACCATGCTGGTACCTGCAGAGCTGTGAGAAATAAATTTCTGTTGCTTATAAGCTACCCAGCGAGTGGTATCTTATTACCGCAGCTCAGGTAGATGGCAGCAGTCCCTTTGCCAGGTGACCAAAACAATTCCCTTTTCTCCCTGCTAGTCCTATTCGTAGGATTCCACCCTGCTCCCGTCACCAAAATTCCTGTTCTTCGCTGCACACACTCTCAATCTGACATTCTATACCATGTTGTTACACTCTGCTGGCCTCCTTGGAATCGAAAGTATAACCCATAAGGACAGGAGAAAGCTGACAGCACCAGGTATCTGAAGACCATGCACTAGAGAGGCAGGATGACCTGGGCTTTACTCTGCTGTCACCTGGCGTGTTACACAGATACACATGGCAATCTGTTCACGCCTCTCTACACCTCTGTTAGAGACAATTTAATAAATAATCCATTAAATATATTCTTCCATAAAGTTGCCTTACTTGTCAAAAAGAGGTGTTAATAATTGCCCTATTTACCTTTTCTCATTGTTACTAAAAAAGTATAAATAACTTATAAGCCATTAATAAGTCATAGAAATAATAGGATGTTTTTGGTCTATTTTGGTTTTGGGGTTTTGTTGTTGTTGTTAAGAAGGCCATATGGTATAAATGGGGTAAGCGTGGGCTTTGAAATCAACAGACACAAGTTTAAGCCCTCCCATCATCACATTACATGTCTGACTGTGGGAAAGTGAACTCCCTTTTTGGAATGAGTGTCTTAATCTATAAAATAGGGTACTGCCACCTATACTTCATATTGTGTTAATTAACTATCTTATGTAAAAGGCATTCAATTCTCCTTCCATCATCAACCTTCAATCCAATCCCATTTTTACATTGCTGGTCTTTCAATCCCACGTGATTGTTCTTTTCCCAAAGGTACCCAGAAGAAGAGAGATTTAGGATGAAACTTAATGACTTCTCTTTCATCAAGAACAAGAGACACAGGAAATATTGGCTAAAGATATTTCAAGTAAAGCTGCACCTTTTACTTACTTTGTTTTTACAAGGTTATGGTGCCAGGAAGAACAGGAGGATGGGGAAGCTAATACCTTGACCCTGGAGACCCCAGAAGAACAGAATTAAACTAAGACCCTTTTTTCAGTGTCTGGTAGTTAACCACAAGTCAGAGTTACCAGTGCTTTCCTAGGTTCTCTCTCATTTCCCAGAGTTCTGATGAGTCAAAAAATCTCAACAATGCTTCTCCCACTCAACCCTTGTCTGCATCTCAAGGGCCTCTACTTCAGTTCAGGTCCTGGCTATTACAACAGCTTCCTCTTCCCAGCACCACTGGTGACTTTCTGCACCACAAATCTGATGATCTCCTCTCTGGATTAAAACTCTGTATTAGGTAGCTCCCTATCATCTCCAGGGGAAAGTATATCCTTGGCATAACATAAAAGGTTATTTGTGTTCTGTCTTCACCTGTCTGATCTCATCTGTCATCCCCCCCCAATATGTAAGCTGGTGCTAAAGCTACCACCTTACCTTCAGCGTATCATGGGCTCACATTCCTTTTAACACCCCTTTGTGATCTCATTCACAATGCCTGGTAATACGCCCTTTGCATCCTTCAAAACTCAGCTGGGGAGTAGAACTAAGTTGGGTACTTATAAAACATACTTACTATAATTTAGTTATTTTCCTATAATAGTTATTTGCCCCTACTAGAAAAATAAGACACTCAAGAACAGAAACTCCTTTTAATCACAGTAGACAATGCACCGTGCATACAAGTTCCATAAATTAACTAATGAATGACAGGATAAATGGCTTGATTGACTTCAGTTACATTATAAATAAAACAGGCTTTTGTTTAATGATCTAAGAAAGTACACACAATTCACCAAGTTTTTCCATAAAGAAAGTAAACTTGGAGTTCTAAATGAATTATTGTAAATAAAAAAGTCTGTTACATAGCAAAGCACAGTTATAAGATCTCAAAAGATAATGTGAAATTTATTACAGAGGTGTATATAATAATTTACCTGGAAATAATGGAATTCAAGTTAGGCACATAATGAATGGGTACAGAAAAGCAAGTTCCAGTTGACGCATAAAGAAAAACCCTGTTCAACAATAACTATGAGAAATCTAAAATTTTTCAGACAAGTCCATAAATTTGCAAGGTATTAATATACACAGGAAACTCTAGTTACTATCACCTCAACTACTATTATAATGCTTACACTTACATAATCCTTTTTCTCTAAAGTGCAATTTTCTATCTTCTTAAGTGGGAAAATATTTTTAAGTTCCACAAAAGTAAGTTACACTGTGTTCCAACAGATGGTGGCACCATGGAATGCCATTAAGAACAGCTGCCAAACAGGACCAATATGTTGGGAAGGAGGCAGGAGGAAGAAAAAGGAAAAAGGAGGACAACACATATTCCTGAGACCAAATTCTGTTTCAAACACCTTCCAAGTACCCAGAAAAATAACAACTAGGTGGTTATCTTACCCATTCTTAAAAATCAAGAAACTCATACCTACCCATAAGGATTATATCATAACTCGATTTCATCTTCTACCCACAGGCATCAACTAGTTATTCCTACAATGCACAAATTACTATAATCTTTAAGATAGGAACAAAATGCTTAAATTATTATGAAAAGAAGCCTGGACAAATGGCCACAATTTCAAACCACCAAGCACACTTCCATTAACACACCCGGTCTACTTCTCAACTTCCCTATTACCTACTTCTATTTTCCTGTATCTTATTATTATCACATTCCTATTATTTAGGAAGGGACAAAAAATACAACTAGTGGGAACATGGGACTTATAGTTAAAGCAGAGACGGTCTGAACCTTGCCAACAGTGAAGATGGCCTTCACTATTGCCCTATGACCCAAAATATATTCTCAAGGCCTCAGTTTCCTTATCAGAACAGGGTCAACTTAGGAGGTGGTGAAGTTGTAAGAATTAAAATCTGTGAGTAAGTACACTACCTGGCACAGCTCTAAAATAAAGAGCTGCCAAGCCAGATAGTCTGATAAGTGAAGAATACCAAATCATAAATATTTGAAAATTAATAGACTGCAATAATTTCACCACCTGACAGTACAGCAATTTAGTGTTTTGCAATGTTTTGTTTGATGTAGGAAGAGAGAAGCCCAACCAACATAACCAGAGTACATAGTATGAAAATTTATTCCGCAATCCTGTAGTCTACTGAAAAGTTAAAAATCCTTTATGTCAGCTCATACAGCCTCTTTATGCTCTAACCCCAATCCATTTATTAGCCTCAACCTATTTTTTAGCTCTACATTGTAAATAACAGATAACATAATTGTAATAGATAACATAATTCTACAATCAAACTTGGGTAAAACAATCCCTTCAATCCTGTAACCCTTCTCACCCACCGAAAATCCTGTTAGTCACCCTGTCTTATGATACCTCTCCTTTTCCTCCCTAGAAAAAAAATCAAAACATCCATCCCTGTGCATTTATAATAAAACAGTACAATGCCAGTAGTTCACATGTTCAATTTTTTTAGTTTATGTATTCTGAATATACAAAAACATCTACTATAACAATACTGACCGTTTGTGAGGAAATAGTTTATGCCTAATCAACTGACCTATCAACCCTCTTTAAATTTCCATTAAGCAAACAGACTGTTTGATACTCATTAAAAGAAAGCACTTCAAATAAATTTTCTGTCTATATAATAGTGTGCCACAGTATGACCTGACTAATGTTATTTACAAGTCAAATATGAGATTCAATCTCATTATTTATTGCATCTACTCTACAAATGTACACATATATACATTTACTTAAATAATTGAGTTTTATAAATATCAACTCTATCTCCCATACATGTAAACATTGTTGGAAAGGTGATTCACAACTGAGTTTGACTCAGGACACAGTCTATAGTTTAGATAAGTAGCTGGGTAAACATGATTACAAATATCTAAGTGTACAAATTTGCCTCCAGTAAAGCATTGTAAATCATAGTCAGAGTTCTAGCTCTTTCAAATTCCAATTCTAGTTTTGCTACTAAATAATAGTGCTCCTTAGCCAAATCACTTAACTACTCTAAACTCTTAGGGCTACATCTATAAAATGATTCTGGATTAGATCAATATTTTCCATACATTCTTGACCATAAAAATCACCCAGAAATTGTTTTAAAATATGTCCCAAACCCTCTTCTGAAGGATCCAATTTAGATAAATTAAATAATTAATAATAAAAAACATATCAGAGTGTGATTTAAACAAAGGTACAAATGCATTTTTCTTTCTAAGGTCATTCTTGATGATGCCCAGCAATTTGTAAACCCCAGCTAAAGGAGCACAATAGACTGAGTGAAGCAGAGCACAACAGACTGAGTGAAGCAGAACAATGAACTTAAAAATTTTGAACTCATCTCCAAAGACTATAATGAGAGAGTTCCTCCAGGCTTTTCCCAGTCCAGCTTAAAGTTCTTAATTGTATGTTCACCACAAGAATAAATTAAGGGGTATTAAGCTAAAATATCTGATAAGCAGAAATTTACCAACTATGTCAAGGAACACAAAGTATGTAAAGGAAGATAAAACCCTCATGCCTTTTCTCACGAAAGGACGCACTTCCCTTCTCCCCTAGCTAGTCTCTTTGATGGAAAAAATAAGTTTTGAAACTGAATAAAAATCACTTTAAAGTATTGGAAATTATGTAATTGTTTCCCTTGGGCATTAAAAGGGTACCAAACACTCCAAAATAGTTTATTAAATCTCTCTTAATCTGGAAATTTTAAGAAAAATTTTTATATTATAAGCAGTGATGACAATCTAATTTCAAAACATATATCCAGTTTATAACACAGTTCACACTCACAAATAATGTGTTTCAAGCTAAGTAATTTTATTTACAGAAAGACTCACCATCTGTATGGGTTTCTTGTGGAGATCTCGCTCAGTTACCAGTTTTTCCTGGTCCGTGACATAAAGGCCCTTGTGCGCCAAAGCCTGGATGACAGCGTCATGGCCTAACAGGGGTTTTGCAGCATCACTCTTGAGAATGAGACTCCCAGCACGACAGTACAATTCAGCTGACAGCAGCAAATTCACAACAGGAGGTTTGATGTGCTCCTGGTCATACTGATCAGTGTAAAATGGTTCTCGGAGTTCCTCTGGCACATTTTCTATAAAGATTAAGGGAGGAAAACGGTCATTAGATTTTTATAAAATAAACACGACTTAATAATTATAATTTATGTCCACAGAAGTTAAGATTCTTTCTAAAAACATTAACCAAACAAACCAAAAAGATAACTTATTAGATCTTGATAATCAGAATGACAGTGGCCGAAAACTATAGAAGATAAATTCTATTCCGTTTATTCTTTAAAAGGACATAAAGCAAACAAGAAGTTTTTTGAGTCCAGTGTTTATGGGGAAAGTATTCTCACAAGCACATTCAAATACACAGGGTGAGCTAGATGAGGGCTAGCAATTAATTTCAGGGAATACCCTCAAAGCAGTCAATCAGAAAATGCACTGTAAGAGCTATTTCGGGTTGTTATTGCTAGGCCCTGTCACTTGGGAATATAAAATCATTTGCCCACAGCTTTATACCTAAACAGTTCCCAAACAGAAAATGCCTAGCTTATTCTGTTCCTTTGCTTACAGGACTCTCACTCTCTTCTTGCTTAGCCTGTGAAAGCGACTGGGAGGAAGTAATAGCTACAATTTATAGAGAAGACAACTCTTAAAAATCTCTTCCATTAGTAAACCACCCCAATTTCCACCTTCCCACTGACCAAAAGACCGCCTGGGCACCCAAATGGCCATTCAAGAGACAAAGGGTAGTTTTTATGAGTTCAAGGGACTTGACAAAGAAACCAAAATTTCCTGGGGGAGCAGCCTTTTCGCTAGCCAGCTGCTTGAGTTCTGCCCCACTTTCCCAATGCCTCCTCCAAAGGACCCTCTGAACGCAGCAAGGTTACTAAAACAAACAAGAGACACACACTTCTCATGGCCTTAATATTTTTCTTGTCTTTGTACTTCTATCTTTTCCTCTTTCTCCTGGCTCCTGACCTGACCTGCATGCTTTCCATCAAAGCCTGGACAAGAACGAGGTGTGTCCCCCAAAAGGAAAGGGAGGACATCTAAGTAAGAAGTTAATGTGGAGTTGGAATCACAGACCTTGTCAGCTCTGGCTTGCCCCTAAATCCAGTCCCTCACTAGCTAAATGTGAATGAATGTGAGGTCTGCAAAGTGAGATTTCGTAGTCAGCCACTCCATCATGATTTTAGGATCTTCCTGAATAGGCAGTTTTAATATAACCTTAATAATGCTATGATACTAATCAAAGTCAACATTTAAAAAAATTTAATCCCAAGTGTTATTATACTCCTTACCAATTTTTCACCCTAAATGTTTAGGAAAACTACTATTTAGAAAATTATTTTCATCAAACAATATTACAGTAATTATTTCATGTTCATTTTATATGCCAGGTTGGGCTTGGGGAATACAAACAACTAGAAAAGATCCATCTCAAGGAGCCAATAATCTACAGGCTACCAGAGACAGGGAAAGGTAAGCAATTCAGAACCTGAAGATAATACTTAAACATTAAGTGCCAAATAAATAAACTTTATTGAAATAAGTTTATTCAATAAAATGAATTTATTGAAATTAAGTGCTTGCAATTCAGAGAAGGGAGCATCTCAGTGGACTGACATGTGTTTATCTTAAGAAACAGGATAGGAAGAATAGGCATTGTTTGTGTAGTCAGAAAAAAATTAGACTTTCTGAACAGAAGAAGGAATGAGAGGAAGGACATGGAACAACACCACAATCTGGATGAAGAAAAGATCCCTGTAAAGAGAACGATGAGAGGTAAAAGCTGGACATTAGTGTTCAGATTTGAAATTAAACTGAAATCTTTATATAATAGCTAACAAGGGACTGCTGACAGTTTTAAAGGAGGAAAGTGACATATTAAGAGTGATGTTTGGGAACAATTAATTTGGCATTCAATCATGATGGCAGTGAAAATTCAAGAAAGAGTATAAAGGTAAGAAAAGGAGCCGGATGGCAGTAGTGAGAGGAAGAGAGCAGAGCAAAGCCCAGCAGCTCAGGAAGAAAGGTACCTGGGAAACAGGGTGGCTAGCAGAAAAAGGTTAGTCAGAGGAAGCACTGACCCTGGAGTCAAGGCCCTGACATGGACATGGTGAGTTGAAATGATAGCAAAAAATATCCGAAAAGCAGTTGGTAAACCTCTTGACCTCTGAAAAGAGATCAAGAGTAGATAATTTGGGATTTTGATGCATATGAAAATATCCTTTTTTAATAATTAAAAACCCCTTCCTTCCTTCCTTCCTTGGAAGGAATTAAGCAGTAAGGAGCCAAACTTAATAACTGCTTCAGCATGATACATAAACTCAGCTGTGAGTCGTAGAATATAGTGGGAGTAAAATTTAGTGCCACAGGAACTAATAAAGGCTAATTAGTAGAACTACTGTATTGTATAAATGACTTGCTACCTAAGTAGCTATGTAAAGAAAAGCGACTGCTCATTATCAGGATTACAAACTTCTCTAGTATAACTGAACAGTTTACTGTTTTAATATAAAGATACTGGCAAATCATGTAATATATACATGAATAGTAGGACTGCAGTAGTACTTGAGAATCTTCATGTCAGACGCTGTCCTAAACATACTGTCACCTAATCCTAATAATCCTGTAGTCCCCATTTTACAGATAAGTAACCTAAGAAAGGTCATTTGGCTCAAAGGCACAGAGCTGTAAAGCATAGTGCTAAACCACCCAGCTAAACAGATTCAAGACATCAACAGTAGTTTGCCAAGACTGTAAAGTTGGATGGAAGAAGGAAGATATACAGCTCAGAGGCTGTTTCACTTTTATTATGGCAAGCCCCCAAGCCACATTAAGCATGTCTAAGTGCTAAAAAGATCCCAATGCAAGGAAAAGGGAAAGGTTCCATAGCATGGATATGCTACTCTAAATACAGATTTTTTCCATCCAAAAAATGCAAAGCCACAACTAAATATTATAAAATACATCACTTATAAAAACAACTCTTCAAGAACTTAATATGCTTAAGAGAAGACTTCAAAATGCCAATTATGATGCTAATTAGTACAAAAAAACCATTTAAAAAGTTGGAAATTGTGCCACAATTTAAAACAAATAAAATGAAACAGCATAAAAAATAACCTGGCAAAAATCCAAGAGAAGAGGTTTTACCCTTTCCCAACCTCCAGAACACAGAGAAATTAATACTTAGGAATGGGATGCATGAAACACCACTCCTAAAATTGAAAAGGATGAGAGACAAGTTTTTCTTGTGCACCAAGGCTTAAGTAGAGCTTACTTTAATTATGTTATAATAAATCCTCACTAGATTTATGTTTTTAAGTTAACAAATCACCTGAAATGCTTGAGGTACAGGTAGAGGGAGTATTGCTCAAGGCAATTTTCTATACAACTGGCTTAGCTGCTAGCTGCATTCATATTTCAGTAAATGACACAGATTTCTTAAAGTAATGAACGGCTGGCAGATAGGATGGATATATACATGTACATGTTAGAAACATTAGCACCCTCAACATGTAAACACTACCTTCTTTTTCAAATTAAAAAGAAAAAAACATCCAAATAAAAAAAATTTCTAAAACAATTCAGAAGTAGAACATGTGCATTTCATAAACTCCAGCAGAAAATAAGTCCTAAGCCTTGGAATCTAAATTAAACAAAAGATATCAACAACGGCCAATAACATGAAAAAATTATAGTAAGAAATATTTTTTGTCTATCAAAAAGACATAAAAATGTTTTAAAACCACTGCTAACAATGATGTACTAAACTGAAAGCCCTTCCACACGTCCAGAGGGCAAGGAACAGTCAGTCAGACTTACTCACCATGACACAAATCCCCAGCAATGTACGTGCCAGAACATAGTAAGCACTTAATAGATATCCAATTAATAATTGAATGAAAAATACTTTTATTAAATTTCTAGTTCTTAGCCTGTACTGAAGGAACTTTTAGATTTCAAGTTTCCCTCAACTATCAGATTCTGCACTAAGTAATCAAAATATATTTCCTGGATCTTGTTTGTAAAATCTAGTTCAGTTTTCCTACAGGCTAGAATTTCTGCAACAGCATTTTCTCTCAAAACCAAACCTTTTTCAGTTAACCTATATTCACTGATGTTAATAATACAGTGGGGAAAACTGGGGTTTGAGGAATGTGTTTTGGAAAGATGAGTCACACTACCCAAAACAATCTATATATTCAATGCAATCTCTATCAAAATTCCAACAGCATCTTTCACAAAACTAAACAGTTCTAAAATTTATATGGAAACACAAAAGATCCCAAATAGCCAAAGCAATCTTAAGAACACAGATGTTCTTCAAACTATATTTCAAGGTTGTTATTTCAAACTATAATACAAAGATAGAGCAGCCAAAATAGCATGGTATTGGCATAAAAACAAAAAGATCAATGGAGTATAACAGAGTCCCAGAAATAAACCCATCATACTTAATCAATTCTTTTACAACAAAGAAACCCAGAATATACAATGGAAAAAAAAGATCTCATAAATAAATGAGCCTGAGAAAAATCCAACAACTACACAAAAAAGAAACTGGATCACTATCATATGTCTAGTAGAAAAATTAACTCAAAATGAATTTTAGATTTGAATGTTAAGAACTGAAACCATAAAACTCTGAGAAAAAAAAACACAGATGGTGAACTTAACATTGGTCTTGACAATAACTTTTTAGATTTGACACCAAAACAAAGGCAACAAAAGCAAAATTAAATAAATGGGCAACCCCAAATTAAATATTTCTGTACAACAAGGAAGCCATCCACAAAATAAAAAGGAAACCTAGTAAATGGGAGAAAATACCTGGAAGTCATTTATCTGACCGTTAAAGTTAATATCCATATTGTTAAAGAGCTCACATAACTCAATAGTCCCCCCAAAAAAACCCAATGTTGGTATAGCCAAATATACAAACAACCTAAATGCCCAAAGTGGATGAAATGATCAAGAAGATATGGCACATATATATATGAAATGGAATACTCCTCAGTGGTCAAAAAGGATAGACCCATTTTTGGCAACATGGATGTTGCTGGAAGGAATTATA